CAGGGGAGGTGCTACGATTTCAATTGCTCTAGTCCTCCATTGCTTGAACCATTCTTCCAAAAGGGAGAGATCGCCTTGGTGGTTTCTGAAAGCCACTAATGGTTCTGGGCTTGCCGAAAGCATTGCGTCTACTTATGAGGTCTACTTTATTGCTATTGATAGAAATATCTTCAGTGTATACTGAATAGAGAATGGGACCTTGGATACTGCCTTGTGGCACACCCTCTTCGGAATAGTGGATGAAGGAGAATGATTTTCTTGAGCAAGTCCCGGCGCCACACTCGATCCTTGGCCTAACGTACAAAAAAAGCATCAGAGCAGTATTTTTTCCGCCCAAGGGAGTATGCAATGCCTACCCTGTGACACTGTTGAACGATATATTCAAAATGGGCCAGATGGAATGGCACTGGCCTGGACATGTTTTTTAGGTGGGGGTTTTCATGGATTTTATGGGCTCATGATGGGCCAATATGACGAAGGGAGATGCTGAGTTGTTTAAAGCTTGGGAATGGGTTTTATGACAGAGTTGTAATTAGTAGTAAGGAAAATTATAGCTCTCGCTTTTGATTCATCAATAACCCATTACTGCAAATGCGCACCAAATCTAAAACAGAATTTTTACTTAGCTTCCGGGTGTGGATTAAACTTCAGAATAGATTGAAATTGTTTGATCAAAAATTTTATTATTTTCTGCAAAGTGAAACAGTGAAGGTCAAATCCACGCAAAAATTAGTTGATTATGGCGCGTAAAAGCTGGAGTTAGGAAGAAAATAGCTGTTCACATTAGAATTTTGAATTTTCCCAAGGTTAATAACATGCACGTAGAATACACTCGGTGCTGTAAATCCCGAGAGCAGTTTCCGGAAGTTATATCTCCCAGGTTATATTTTACGGGGAACGACTGTCCCGAGGCGATCCCGGTTAGATATCCAGAATTTGATCGCCCCGGCTCCATAACTAGCTGGTTATTGATGGACCCACGTGCACGGGGCTATCAGCTGTTGCGGATCAGTTTGGCTAATGAATCTTAAACAAATTGTTTCCAGGGCTGATCGATCCCGGGGGGCAGTGTTTACAGAAGAGGACCGTTACGGGTCAGAGTTCCTAACGGGCACTTACGGGTAAACTGTTATTGCGTCGGGGGCGTGAACGAAATTGTGTGCAAAGGGAGAATAGATATTGCCCTTTAGACATCCAGCTAAATGATAATAAATAATCCGCAGTGTAAACAGTTTTTTCGCCCTTGGAAGAGCAATTAGATTCCAAGAAATAGTGATGTACTGAATGGGGTATCATAACAATAACAAAAATCATTACTAAATTGCTACTTATTAACTTATTGAAATATTTTTATGTCTAGGAAGAAAAAAAGTTACACAGTTACACAAATAACTTTTTGTTTAACTAACTTTTAAATAGAATTTAATGAATGGCATGGCTAATGCCGTCTTCCTGAGTTAGGATTAAAACAGAAAAGAAAGATTCACTAAAAATAAAGAAGAATAATAACTACACAATAATATACACTATTTTAAAAAAATGAGATTTATATAATAACAAAGAGGCGACCGAGGCCGCAACGGTTAGATAGTTGACAAGGCGACCCATCATTGTAAGGGCCCCGGGTTCGAATCTCAGAGGCCCTAAACTTGAACCCAGAGTAACAAATGGGCTTTTTTTTCAAAAACACCGACATGGGGTTTATATAATATATATTTGATATATTTTATTTGTTTTGTTGATATATTTTAGTTTTAGACTGTTAAATAAATATAAGAAAAGAAGATGATCCCGACCGTTATAGGCCTAATTACAAAGAGGCATAGATGGCACGTGACAAAGGACAAAGCTTCGTTCACGGTCCCGAGCAGCTGGCATTATCTCCAGGTCGGACACGCCGGTGTAGAAAGGACGAAATTCCACGGTCGAAATTGTAAACTGTTTTCGCCCTCTTGGGGTGGTTTTGATTGGAAAATTAAATTGCGAAGAATTTGCGGCCTGTAAAGTGGGGGGGGGCTGGGTTTAACTCGATTCCCACTCCAGGGAGGAGGATAACGACGTTTAAGTCTGATTTACATGACTGTAAATATAATACGGCTCTGTATTTACATTTCAAGAGGGGTTGGGCCGGAATCTGGGGTTTTCAAAGGGAGAATTAGTCACCGTTTTAAAAGCAATTAGGCCAAGAGGAACACTGACGTCACTTCTGCCTTACATACGAGAACTCTTAATTTCCAGTTCTTCTCTTGGACAACAAAACTTCCTGAGTTTATAAAAATCTAATGTGAATTTAAATATAAAAATCAAGTGAAAGAACATTTTTCTGACGTCATCGTCATTAGCACTTCTAATACATTTTTTTTCGAGGGGTATTCACGATCTGACCCTGTTAACTCTGTTAGGTTCTGTTGGATCGAGAAAAATGATGACGTAGACTTGTAAAAATCGGCTAGTTAACACTTCTCGATCCAACAGGCCAATGTTATGTTAGATCGAAAATATAGTCACATTGTCATCCGTTAGGGCGAAGGTAACCAACATGGCAGCTGTAAATTTAACAGCTGTTTTATGTTTACACATATTTTTATTCTTAAATAATCGTTAATTAAATCAGATCAATACATTTATTTTATTAATTTCTGACCTTTGCTTATACTCTCATTCATAATAGTTACATCCCCTAACCTATAAAGTTGTAGGCTGTTAGACGTTATGATACAGGTTAGGTATGTAGGCACGATTTGAAACATGTCATTTGTTAGTACTTTGCGAGGGCATAGATGGCATTTTGAATGAAAGAGTTGATTAATTTTTATTTGCTTTTGAGACATAAGGGGTATTCACGATGTTTGTAAGATGTTAACTCGTGTTAAATCGAATAGAGAAATGTCCAGTAAGATCGTAAACACCCACTTCTTTTCTTAGCATGTTAAATGTTAATTTTTCCCCAATGCTGCGCGTGGCGATTGGTAGAACCAAAAATAAAGCTATAACAACTTGTTGTTTGTTTTGGTTTTCTTTTGTGTTAAATTGTAATAGTAAAAGAAGAAAATTAATCAACTTTTTCATTCAAAATTCTATCTATGCACTCGAAAAGTACTAACAAATAAACCGTTTCAATTCTTGCCGACATACCTAACCTGTATCCTAACGTCTAACAGTCTACAACTTTGAAGGATAGGAGATGTATCTATTATGAATAAGAGTATGAGGGCAGGTCAGAAATTAACAAAACTAATTGTATTGCTTTGTTTTAATTAACGTGCATTTAAGAATAAAACTACGTTTAAAGAAAAAACAGCTGTTAAATTCATGGCTGCCATGTTGGTTAACCTACGCCCTAACGGATAGAAATGTGACTACATTTTCGACCTAACCTAACATTGGCCCTGGCCTGTTAGATCGAATGTTAACTAGCCGATTCTAACAAGTCTACGTCATCATTTTTCTCGATATAACAGGACCTAACAGAGTTAACAAGTGACAACCATTGACCGATATTCCCATCACCACCGATACGAACACCACAATTATATTCAACGGTCACCACAAGTTACATTAAAACATCATGGGAGAGTTAACAGGGTTAACACAAAGATCGCGAATACCCCCTTATATCGTCATCATCAAAGCCTATTTATTATGGGAAAACATAGCATACCTGTATATAGTACATTGTATAAAAAATCTTAATTAACCAACAACTGTAATATCTAAATGTACCATAAAAAATGAGAAAGAAAAGATGCAAAAGAGGCATATACTTAGACGTATGTTAAACGAGGTAACCTATACTATCACGTTGTTTTAAAATTATATATTATCTTACGATTAATTAAGGTTTCAGTTGAGATAAAAAAAGTCAATGGCACGAGCGGGATTCGAACCCACGATCTTCGGCTTGATACGCCGCTGTTCTACCACTTGAGCTATCGTGACCTCGATCCACTCGGAGACCAACTTCTCATCTCAACCACACCTTTTGAATTTTCCCTCCTTTTTGCCATTTTTCAATTATATTATGTTATGGGAATTATATATTATGTTGTATTTTATTGTTTTTAATTAGTTTTAAATTTTTTTTAATGTATAGATGTTGAGCTTCACCAAATTTATATAATTTGTTATAAATGCAGTTTTCCTCAAGACATATGTTTAACACTCATCGAGGTAGATTAAGAAAATATAATTGTTTTTAATTTTGTTTATAAATTGTGCAATATTTCCAACTGCTATGCTTTCCCATAATAAACAGGTCTTGATGATACAAAAGTCGAAAGCTCAGCAAAAACCGAAAGAATTGTCGTTCCGTTGTGACCTCGCCGAAGATCCTTTAACATAAATTTATGAGTCCTGCATGTTACATAAATTTATGAGTTTAATGAGTTAATATAGTTCCTTAAGAATGGCCTAAGTGGTCTAACGTCTAACTACCATTTGGCTGTCGAGCATGAGGGTGAAGAAGTTCCTGCCAATCGATTCCTTAGGAAAGAAAACGTTCCATCTTTGGGTCTACATTGGGGAGAATAAGTGGATGAGCTACTGCGGACATAAAAAATTGATTTATAAATAAGTGATGAAGGCGTGACAAGTAAATGACTGGCCGACCTCCCGTTTCAGGAGGGATAACAATATTTCCACCCATGACGGCCCTAATGTCATTTGGGCCACTTCGGCAGTCGGAGGGATGTAATTCTATACGTGTTGCAATTGGAGCGGCCCGGGGGATTCTTTACGCCGGTTTTCACCTCTAGAACAAAACCGCGGTAATGACTGTTGTTCTCGTTTGGCCGGTGGAAAAGGGGTGGGTGGAGATGGGCGACCCCTCAAATGACGCCAATAAAAGCCCATTCCTGAAGGGTCGATCGCCCCCCGGTAGTTAACCTAGGCCGGGTGGAATTGCCTCTTTACGCATTAGCTTGTCCGATTTGACGAAAAAACTACAATCTTGAGGGTCGGAATCTCAGTTTTATCCACCTGAAAGAATAAACGCGCCTTACCTTTGACAGACTTTGAGGGGAGGGGCTGGTCGCGGTTCCAGGGAGGATCCCCGTGACCGGAGAAATCCCGTAGTTTGAGGTAGGAGATGGTGAGCCGGATGATGGAGGCCTTGTCCAATTGGGAGGTGATGGCCGCCGGGAGAGGAAGCATTTTGGCCAACTCGTAGAATTCGTAGTTCTCCTTTCCTCGTCGGGACCTGGCCGCGTCCCGCGACTTCTCTTTCCGCAGTTCGAGGATACTGTAACAGAAAACCCAAATAAACTGTTAAAACCCATTGCATGGAATCAACGTATAATAGCATGCTAAAGCATTAAAAGAAAATTTACACCAAAATTTTACCTCTTGACATAACTAAATGACCACAAAATCTCTCGTTATCAATTTAACTTCAGTTAATAGTTCTGACAAATCTATAATCTATCACAATCTTTGTGAAACTTGAAAGCTTCAGCAAAAAATGCAAGATAACGCGATTAAAATATATCAACGTTTTCAATTAGAGGGACTGAGGTTGATGAGTTGGTTGCCGCGACGGTAGTTGGCCACTAGGTCCGTTATAATTACGTTGTCGCTGTTTTTGGTACTGTTCTGATCACACCCACCTAATGATCTCTAGTTTAATATGATACTCCATCCATACTCACTCTTTAAAAGGTGTTATACGAACAGCGCCGATTCTTGGCAACGGGTCATATCGAACAGTGTCTACCTTCTGTCATAGCAACACACTGAGAACTGAGAGAAATAAAAAGGCTAGAAACACATTCCAGGAAGATGAAAAATGCTGGCGAAAGTTATTGCTGAAATGGGGACGTATGAGTCCCCAAATATATTAGATATATGGAAGAGAGCTGGTTGTTATTGATCCTAATATTTAACAATCCTAACCACTGGTTCCAGTAAGATAACCATTTTTTCCGACATTCTGGCACTTAAGACCCTCGCACCATGCCAAATAAATGCAAAAATTATACGGAATTGAATAGAATTCCTGACAGAAGTTAGTGACACCAATGATCTGACCCTGACGTGGATCCCTGGGTATTTAGGGCATAGAAGCAATGAGAGGGCGAAATATTGTCCAAAAAAGGGAGCCAATATGAATTTAATCAATTTAAAAGAAAAACGCGTATGCTTTTGAGATTAATCCTCTAAATAGTACAATAGTTTCTTATATTAACTGCCTTCTCCGTATCAAAACTGGCGCCCTTCTCTGCCTCCAGGGGCGGTTTGTGCCTGAGAGTGCTATCAGGGGCGATGTTGAGCCCCTGAACGTTAGTAGAGCCCATTCCACTTTGACATCAGTTAAACATTTTCAATAATAACTATACATATAGTAACATCGAGAGGTAGCCCCGTGGCGTTGGACTTGATATGGTGGGGTTGGGGTCAGGAAGGGTATGGAGTATACAAAAAGATCTGTGGACTAAAGCTAAAGTCAAAAAATATGTATTCTCAGCCGCGAACCCTATTGCCTAGCACTTCGCCACAAAAAAAGGATACATTCAAAAATGGATCCTTGATGAATCCAAAGCCTGGTGGAACAACACCCCAGCATGAGGCACATGATGAGATTCATAGACTTACAAAGGAATTATTGGAAGATAACAAGGCACTGCCGCCTAAGAAGGGACCTCCTGCAAAAAAGGATAAATACTCCGTGGTACTTTTGAATTATGATTTAAACTAATGATCATTCAAATTTATTAGACAGTATCAGCCCAGATAGAGAGTAATTAGCCCTATTCTGTCATGCAGGAATAATGACTTATGAGTTTTCCCAAAAGGCGAAAAACAACCAACTCAAAGAAAAAGAGCGGCAGCTGAAATAAAGTGAGTTTTGGGAGATAACCAACCCAAACATGAAATGTACCATCAGGAACAGTTAGAAAAATACAATATAAACAGGAAAATTCCAGCTAGGGTTGCATTTGGTCAACTGTAAATACAATTAAAGGTTAAATTGATCTAAACAGATGCAACAAAACGCACTGATTTACAATAAAAAGTTTCACGAGCGGGATTCGAACTTACTACCTTCGGCTAAAAATGCCGCTACTCTACCACTTTAGCTATCGTGACTTCGATCCTCTCGGACAACAACTCTCTATCTGGACCTACAACCGTTCGAATTTTCCCTCTTTTTGCCATTTTCGCGGGTTCGAATCCTGCTCGTGAAACTTACTTTTTTATCTCAACCAAAACCTTACATAAAAAGAATAATTAATTGTAAGAAGTAACTTGGGGGCCGCGGTAGCCTAGTGGTTAAGGCGTCAGACTCTCGGCTAGTAGATCCGCCGGTCGTGGGTTCGATCTCCACCGTCGCCTCTGGTCTTTTTCTGACGCCTAAGGGGACCGGTGGCCGCAATTGAAAAAAATTGAGACGGCACACATCAATGGAAGGGGCGGGATCGGATTTCAGCGACCCTGAATTTGGTCCCAATCCCTTCAAAAATGAGTTCCTTCGATGGAACGGGGGCTCAAGTTCACATTTGTGTTGCGAGCTCTCCCCCAAAATATGGAGCCAGAGGATAAGTACAATAAGCTGTACAGCTCAGCTGCAGTGCTCAGGAGGGAACTCCTCCAGTCCCTGGTTAAAAAAAAAAAACTTGGTCAATTGACCACTAAAACATAAATGGATTAATATTTAATAAATAAAAGAAGTATCACATCATTAACAGCTCCCCGTGACCACTTCCCTGAGAATCCAATCCTGATTACACGACATTTGAAAAAAACGGCAAAAAGGAGGGGAAATTCGAAAGATTATACGTTGAGATGGGGAGTTGGTGTCCGAGTGGATCGAAGTCACGATAGCTCAAGTGGTGGAGCAGCGGCGTATCTAGCCGAAGATCGTGGGTTCGAATCCCGCTCGTGACACTGACTTTTTTATCTCAAACAAAACCTAACATAAAAAGATTAATTGATTGAAACATGAAACTTGGACAATTGGCCACTAAAACATAAATGGATTAATAATAATTTTGTAAATAATGCTTCTAAATATGATAGTACCAGAAGAAAAATTTAGCAATATTTTTTTCAAAAAAGAGAAAAATTTCAATATTTCTCAACAGAGTTTATGAAATAAAAAGTGGGATCATGTTAAGCAATCAGGTGGGGTTTTTTTTGCTACCAAAGAAGCAAAGGACTAATGTCAAACTTTCTTGACAATTTTGACCTTTGATTTTCTCGTCCAACTTAAATTAGGTAAAACTTTGTTAATATTACCATCCAATGTTTTGCTTTTCTCCACCGGATGCAGCTTTTCCTTTTGATTCCCCCGGCTATGGGTGGAACTAAAATGTCGCCCGTGCCGCTAAGTGGTGAACCCGGGTGGTCCCGAGAGCGCCCCGTTCCGCTCTGCCGGCCCGACGAGGATCCAATACTCTCTGTACATTTCGAAAAAGGCGGGGGAAAAAATCGAACTGTTTAATCCGATGGAGATAATCAAGGTTGGCCATAAGGCTAACAAGTTTTTTACTGGCAGTTGGGGCGCTACGTGGCCACTCTGGTGTCCACCGCGGCTGTTTTACGACGCCTCCTACCAATTGCATTAGTCAAAATTGGAAGGTTTTACAACTCGGAGTCAGCAAGGAGGTAAATTGGGACGAGGACACTTACGGAAAGAAGGGTGGCAGAGTAGAGCATAAAGTTGTTTACCTCCCTTCTCCTAAATGCATTCTTCGACAGTAAAGTCCACAGAAGAAAACTCCTTTTTCCGCCTTCTATGGTTATAACTCCCAGAGGAATTTCCTCTTTCTCCTCACTAACATGTAAATGCACAATTTTCATCACAAATTAATGCAAACAATACCAATATATAATTAGTTTTACGACAACAGCAAAATGGGAAACTCTGATATACAATGACAGACAAAAATTCCGCCCAATTGATTTTTTTCTCGATAAAAGAAAATTTTGCCCTTAATTTGTTTCATTGTTTTTACCAATAATATTTGTTTATGCTATGTTTTAAGTTGGGAATATCAGTCAGAGGTAAATACCCTTCCTTAATCCAAAACAAGGATAAAGGATTTTTCAATGTTTGGTTTACTTTTTACGGAATTTAAAATTTTTATTCAGTCACATTTGAATCCGGAAGCAATAATTGTTTAGTTTTCATCTTTGTTTTCTTAATTTCAATTTTCAAACTTAAAAATACCACTTAGTGCTGAGGATGTTGTGCCTAGCGTGGCACTTGTTGATGATGGACGTTCCATCAGGTATGCGGCTATTACAGTCGGAGTTCACTACGAAACACTGCGAGATGCCGTTAGACGTCTTCACGAAACTGGGTCCTACCATAGTAGGCCCGGTCTGGACACCCTCGAAGTACAGAACCACAGGATGACTGTCTTTTTGACTTTAAGAATTTTGCCAAACCGGCACCTCAATGTAGTTCAAGCGATTCATCAGCTCCAGGATGTTCGAGGTGTCCAAATTTCTGCACGCATTGCTCGAAGAACAGTAAATCTGTATGGACTGATGCCTTTTCGCCCCGTAAGAGGACCAGAATTGACCAGAACACACACAGTTGCACTGCTCGCATTTGCTCGAGAACACAGCCATTGGTCTTTGGACGATTGGACTACTGTGCTTTTTACAGATGAGTAATGTGCTCTACGATCTCCAGATGGGCGTGAAAGAGTGAACAAGACGAAATGAAAGGTACGAGGCTTGTACGTTTTTCCCAGAGCCAACCTTTTCAACGTAACTCAGTGATGGTGTGGGCGGGAATTTCAACTGATAGTCAGAAGGAGTTGGCTGTTGTTAGTGAAGGTTCTTTGACAGCCACTCGCTATGTGCATGGGATTTTGGAACATCATGCGTCGCCTATCTTCGATGAAATCAGCGACAATCCTACACTAATGCAAGATAGTGCCCGTCCACAGGTCGCTCCCATAGTACAAATGCACCTTCAACAGCCGGTTCTCGGGGTCCTAGTCTGGCCAGCCCGTTCTCGAGACTAGAACACCATCGACATTAATGGGATAACCTCAAAAGAGGAATAAGAGCACGTCCATCACTTCCACACATCTAAACGGAAAACAACACTTTGAGCCCTGAAGATGATCTCAATAAAGATCGAAACGTTGACACGATAAAGAAAATGTTTTTCTAAACCCTACCTCACACCAGACCGCATCTCACGATCTCAAAATAATCATTTTCATTTGTATTGTACTGTAAGGTCCAATCTACAAATACACGCAAATATAAACACATATGTCAAAC